ATCCCGAACAGAGCCCCCAGTGTTGCCGGGGCGGGAGGAATGCAGGGTCCTTCTCCAGCTGTTCCCTATTAGAGCACCGAGCCGGCAGGATTTGGCAGCTGCCTGCGCTGCCATTTGATGACAAGGTCCAGCGCAACGCCGTGTTCGACCGAGGACGGATTTAAGTCCTTCTGCAGGAAACCAAGCCCGGGGCTGCTCCAGCGCGAAGGGATCGGGGCTGGCTCTGGGGGAGCAAGGCTGGAATTGGCCGTTCCCTTATATAGCTCGCAGGAATGAGAGGGAGGAATGCTGCCGAGTGCGTCTGGGCGCAATACTGCTGGTTTTATAAACAGCTGAAAGGCCGAACCTCATCCATTTGGGTGGGGAGGCCCCGGGGGGGGACGACAGGGAGGGAGCGTGCTCTCTAAACTCAGCTGCTCCGGGGGAAATGCGCAGCCTCCCGTGCCGGCCTTAGCAGCGATTCCCGCTGCAAGTCAGTGTGAGCAATATATTTTTAATTTTTAATTGTTTATCAGCATCGCAGTTTTTCATTCAAATCGTGGCTTTGGCGGTAGCCGTGTCACCTAGGTTGGTCAGGTAATTAGAGAGGGGCGATTTACCTCCTGACCGCAGAAAAGGTGAATTATGAAGGAAAACAGCGTTTTAAAGTCCTCCCGGATACAAAGTCACGTATGGCCGTCTGCGTGGTGGCGTTTGCTCGATGTAAGCCGGGGTGGAAACCAGAGGTTGGGCCGTTCCCATCTCTACTCGTGTGAGCAATCCCTGCTTGCCCCGTAATCCCATTGACCTTGCTTGGCGCGAGGATTTCTCCTGCGAGCGAAGCTTGGCATCCAGCCTCCTGCCTGTCCCTTCGTGCCTTCGGGGAGCTGCCTGCGCTTTCCCTGACGTCTCTTCCAAAAATGAGCTGTTCCTCCAGGGCATTTGTAACTCCAACAGCAAAACCTGGATGCGTTGAGTTCCTTTTTTCTTGCCAAACACCCCTCCGTAGGGCTTTCCCGTGGGATGGACATATCCGTGCATCCCGCGGAGCAGGACGTGCGCTTTTCCGAGCCGCGCAATCCTGTTGCGGTGGAGGGAAGGGTAGCCGAGGTTTGCAACCAAGAACTGTTGGGAAATAGCTTTTAGGCTCCAGTGTTAATGCCGTCTTCTTCATAAAACCACCTGTATTTTTTAAATCGCTCCTATTCAGCGCCCGTTTCGCAGCCTGGCATTTATCACTTGCCTGGCCATGGAGACACACCAAGTTCTTCTGAAAAGCAGCGTCATCATCTAACCTTGCGTTACTCCTTGCTGTTGGAATCCTGTTGTTTGCTGAACTAATTTGGGCTCAATTCCCTCCCAGGCTGAGGTGGCTCCTGGTACGTTTTCCTGGTGTTTGCTGACTTGGAAATGGTGGCTCCCTGCTTGCAGGTGCCCCACCGGCATCCTTGTTGATGTTGGGGACGTGGCAACGGTGGTGGGCAAGGGACTACGGGGTGACAGGGGTGCAGAGCCTAAATGGGTTGTTGGAGCTGGCTGTAAGACACAGTGTCGTCACCTTCAACGAAGCACGGGTGAAATCCTCCGTCTGGCAAAGGGTGTCACCATGAGTTAAGCATGGTCTGAACGCAACGTGCTGCTCTAACGTGCTGGAGCAAATATCCGAATTGACTTAAACGTTGTGTCCTCATGAGAAGCGAGTTGTTTTGTACATGCAGGACCCGTTGCTTGCCCCAGCCCTGTTGGGGAGGTGGGAAAACTTGAATGTTACCCCTGGTTCGTGGTCGTTAGAAGGAGGTGGCAGCCCTGCTGCGTTCCTTGGTGGATGGGCGCCATCCTTGGCAATGTCATCACGAATGACTGAGATCAGGAGGGGGCCCAAAGGGAGACTGGAGCATGAAATCCTCACTGGCTGGTGGAGCTGGGCTCATGAGCCTTCGGGTGTGTGGACCAGGCATGGAGGAAAACTCCTCTCAACAAGGGTGTCCAGGTTGTTTCTTGCCTGGTGGACTCCAAATGAGAGGTCTGCTGTATGGCAGGTGAGGTGGGGAAACCTCAAGGAAGAAAAAGAACTCTTTTTAACTAGTTAACTGACATGGGGAAGCAAGTATATTTAATTTGAAGGAGCTCTGTCTTGTTTTTTTTTCCAAGTGTAAGGGTATTTTTGATAATGACAGCCAAGCCCTCCTCGTTAGGACTGCAAACCTGACGTGGCTCTGCTGCGTACAGCATGGATGACCCTCAAAAAGGCCTGAGGAGCCCCCTGCTTCTGTGGCTCTTTGGGTACCTGCTCAAGCATGGACAGGTGGATATGACCACATTGCCCACCTCGGATGAGAGACGTCTTGCAGAAAGCTATGCTGGTGTCTCGGAGCACGCTGGAGATGTGACTACGTGTGGTGCAGGGGCTGTGCAGATGGCTGCGAGACCACTAATCCCTAGTGCATTTAAAGGTATTGCTTGATTATAAAGGTAAAATAGAAGCGAGAAGCAAACAGGGAAGGAAATCTATACATTTCTTCATTAGGTGAAGCGTACAGCTTGTGGCTGTCCTGCATGGTGGCTATGAGTAGCCTCACAGAGCTTTAATGGTTTAACTGGTGAAGAACGTGGGCTGCTGTTAATTCAGTTTGAGCGTGAATGGCTTGGCCTGCCGTGCATGGAGAAGAATATGGAAACCATATTATCCGTGCACAGAAATAGAAGTTTCAGGTATTGCATAGCGCTATTTAAAAGCCTGCTATAACTTCCTTCCTTCCTTCCAGCCTGGCCTCGCTGGGCGGCTTCGGTCCCAGCTGCTCGGAGCCATCAGGACGCGGCGACCTCCTCCGAGCCGCCAGTAAAGGTCAGGCCCGAGCGTAACGTGCCCCGTGGTGGGAGCGGGACCCATGCTCGTCCTGCGCCCGCCGGCTGGGGCTGAGGCACCGCGGGGTGCCGGGTCGAGCCGCTCTGTGGGGTACAGACGCGATGAGGAGACGGGGGCTGCTGTAGTCACAAACCCTGGTCTGTAGGCTTTTGACGTGGAGTGCGGGATGTGCTGCTGCTCCCACCTCCTCAGGCATTCCCTCTCTAACAGCCAGAGGCGTGACTGGGATTTTCTTGGGACTTCCAGAGTAGTCCCACATCCTATCCCACTAGCCTTGGCTTTGGAGCTGCTGTGGCTTCCTTGCTCCTGCAGAGTCTGCTGGCTGACGGAGGTGGCCAAAGGCTCCTGTGGGTCCTCTGGCCATCCAAACACCCATCTGCACTGATGGTAGCAGCAACAGCTTTAAGCTCTTGGTTTTGAAGAACAACAAGCTTTCTTTGCCCTGTGCACAGGACATTAAATACTTCACATGTTAAGGCCAAAACCTTTATTTCATTTCGGCAGGCTGTCAAGTATCACAATGAGAGCATCAAAATGACCTAGATTTCTCATCCTGGGCAGGACTGGCCGGAGGAAGAGCCCAGGGCTGCAGGGAGCGGTAATATCTTTAATTAGACCAAGTGATGCAGCTGGAAAAAATGGCAAAGCGCAAAGGTGCACCGGCTCAAAGGAGGGCTTGTGTGGTTGTGTGTTTTGTTTTTTTTTTCCCCAACTGTACCAGCTGGTCTATTAAAAGGTATTACATGTTCTTGCAGACCTTGCCTCTTATATCCTTAGGTCGTTGTGGCTCCAGCCCTATGGCTTTGCTGCCGCCCCGGCCACAGGCAGTCTCCCAACTCATTGGGAAGCTGCTACCCCTCCGCTATGTGAATTTTGCAGTTTGCGCCCAGTGCCCCCCACTGATGGAAAACCATCCCAGTGCCCAGTTTGAAGATGGTTCTCAATTTATTTTTTTTTTTATTATTTTTCTTGGCTTACCGTTGCATTGCAATGCTGAGCTCTAGTTTAAGTGCCCTTGGGCTGTGCAAGAGCATCGCTGAGCTGTCCTGTGGCAGGGACCGGAGGGGCTGAGC